AATTTGAAATTTGAAATTTGAAATTTAGTAATTTGAATTTGGGTGACATTTATAGATCAATTATTTTTTTAAAAATCAGGTTTAAACAAGTTTTTAACCTTTTCAAAAATTTCTTTTTTTCTTTTTTATCACTATTTTCTTCAATATTCCAATACTTATTTCATATTTTTTCTATTAATTTGTTTATAATTAATTTTCTATTTTCTGTTGCTCTATCATTTTCATTTTTTTCAAGTATTTCAAAATTTATTAATTCATAATATTTATAAATTTCAAATCCACTCTCATCAAATATTCACTGAAACTGTTTTCAAGAATTAATCATAAGTAATTTCTTTGGATCGTGTATTTGTTTATAAAAAATATATTTATAGGGGATAATATATTTATGAAAAAAAAGATATCGACATTCAAGTGATATCAAATCAGATAAATCTTTACTTTTAACGGATAAAATTTTATTAACTATTAATTTTTGAATTGGAAAGAGAAATTTATAAATCTTTGAAGATATCATTATCAATATCAGCAATTGAAATTTTTTTAACCTGACATTTGAATATAACATAATTTAAATCAGAATATTTTTTTAAATCAAGTGTAATAATTTTATTACATATACTGATCAAACCATGTTGAGAAGAGGTTGTTTTCTTTAACTCATTATAATATAATTCTAAAGTATTGGTTGATATTACTTGCAAAAGTAACAGAAAATATTAATGAGTTCAAAAGGCTTATTGGTATATATTTTTTAAATAATATTTTATAATATATTGTTTAATAGGAACAAGAATACATTCTTTAATTAATTATTGTATAAGCATTTCACAATTAATTTTGTTTGTTTATACATAGTGTGAATTATTTTATTTCAATTTTTTGAATCATAGATTTTATTTATCCAAGTTCTTATAACATATACAGTACAAAAAATAATGTAAAGATTCAGAAAAGCTATTACAATACTCTTTGTTTCTATACTACTTTAGTTAGCTAAAAAATATCAAAGTTTTCAAAAACTATAAAATTGTCAGATTATTATTAATACCTTTGCAACTGTATTACTATCTTTGTTACTGACAAAAAAATATTTACCAACATTTCAATATCCATCTTGAATATATAGTGTAAATAAACACCAGTCATATTTATTTATTTTATATATAAAGTTTATCAAGATTAGTTATCTATATTGTTGAAGTTTTTCAAGTTGGTTTGATTATACAAAAACAAAACTACGTGTAGATTGTATTGTATATAATTTAACTTGATATTTTTTTTTAAAAAAAAATTGTATCTTGAATATTTGATGATAATTTGAAAGAACCATTAAGATAAGTATTTTGAAATTTCTAAATTTTATACTTTATATTAGTAACTTTTCTTTATTTTAATTCTTTTATACTCATATCAAGACCCATTTTTTCAGTTACATACTCTTTAACTGTATTAACTATTGCTAGCACAAGATGGTTTTTAACTGTTTCTTTTTTTACTAAAATTTGAATATCTTGAGAATATTTTAGTTTGTCACTTTTTTCTAAACCATGTATATGGTCAGGAGAATCTTGGAATCATTCAATGCATACTTTTTGCTCAACATCAAATCTTAATATTTTTATTTTTGCAAAATATAAATTTGCTATTTGAATCTTTATTTTTCTGTGTTTCATGTTTGAAATATTTTCTTTACATATACTTGATTAAAAATGTTTATTAAAGTGACATACAAAAATTTTCCATGAATTTCCATTGACATTATCTTTATAATTAAACTTTATTCATATATTTGTAACTAAAGGTCACCATTCATTGTCAAATTATTTTATCAGCACCTTAAAAAGTTATTGAACATTAAAAAGTAATATATATTTTTGATTAAAAGTAAGACTTGTAATTGAGTCTGTTACTATGATATTTGTTATAATTAATTTGTGAGATTGCAAAAGTTCTTGAAAAGAATTTTCTTTGTCAAAAGTGTTCTTAATTTTTTTATATGTAGTCTTTAAAAAAAATATTCAAAGCCCAAAGACAAAATAAAGAAAAGTAATAAAGTAATGTTTTGTTTTTTTTTTGTTTTTTTCTTTTCTGTGAGAAGTATTGTTACGCAATCTGATTGGCCAAAATGTCATATGATAGTTTTGCTTCCGGGCAGGTGACGATCTTTAATCATGTGATCTAACCTGGCTTTAACGGTTCCGAAATCGGGTAAGTATAGGGAATTAAGAGAGAACAGGGCATTAGTAAAGATGACAAAAGGGAGGAAACGATGACGAATAGTGACAAGAGGGAAGAAATGGAAGTAAACGACAAATTAAAAGAGTTTAAAGAAAGGTTTGTATAGACTTAATAGATGGATGGGTAGTTAGAAAACAAAGAAAGTGTTATTCTGGTAAAGTCACGTGACCAAATGAGCGAGAAGTATAGTTTAATTTTATGAATTAAGACTTAAGATTATGCAATATCAATAATTTAATCAATCTTGGAAACAAAAGAATCAAAACAATAAAAGATAGGATTATTTTATACTATAAGAATATTCAGAAGAATATAATAAGAAGGAAATTTATTTAATAAAGAAATATTTACAAGAAAATAAAGAGATATCTTTTTAATTAATGATTTCGCTCAAGACTATACAATCATAAGTACTAATTATCTACAACTATTATTGCATTTATTGCATAAAATGAAGAAAAGAATTGAATAATAATTTTTTTTTGTTACATGATGGAGAAAAAATTAAAACTCTATATATACATTTTAGAAACTATTCTAATAATAATTAATTTATCAGTTAATTATATTTTTTTAAAGAGAAGAAAAGAAGAAAAAAAAGAAAGAAAAAGAAGAATAATAATAAATCGAAGATAAATCGGCTTTGCTAAGCTTGAGTTGTCCTAGTGGAGGTGGTGGCAATCATAGGGAGTGGTCCTTCGCTTGGTAGTAGTGGTCCATCTAAGAAATTCGGCGATTCGCCCGCAATATCCGCAGCATATTCGAAATCACGTGTCACGTGACCGGAGAAGTATATAAAAATTATAAATATAGTCGAAGAAAGATAAGAAGAAAGAAAAAAATAAGAGTAACAAGGGCGGTTTCGAGAGGGAGGGTACAGTAAAGGAGCCGAAATTAAAGCAAGGGTCGAGGTAAGTGAATCAACATGGGTAAGACAGATATAAATAGAGGTAAGTGCAAAAATTATTAATAAAGAAGGGTAAAGATAATAATAAAGAGGGCGGTGACAGATAAAAGGAGGATTATAGAGGCGAAAATAAAAGATCATATGATAGCCCATTTTAGAGGAATCTAATAAAAAAAAAAGTTTGTGCAATTAGATCACTCATTGTGCACAATTAGCATTTTGATTTTAGCAATTATTTTCGAATTTTATCATTCCACAAATACTATTGCTAGGGGAGTGTATATGTGGATATGCAAAAATTAAACACGCAACTTTTAACAACTTTATTACTGCTTTATATTATTGCAAAACGCGTACTATATTTTTTTGTGCAATAATGGATAGATTTGATTTTGATATCTAATTTAGAGACGAACATACCTAATTTATTCTCATTCTGATATTAGTCTGTATTCCAACTATTGTGAAACCTGCAATCAGGTAGAAACATGAAATGCAAAGAAATCAATCAAAAATTATTATTTGTAATATAATGCACCACAAATTCATCAACATCAGTAACATGCTTTGTATTATTGCTTATATCCCACCAGCGCGCAATCATACTAATTTTTGTAAAGTTAAGATCATGCCAAAACAGGTGGAATGAATAATCCATGTTACATTTGCAGATAGTTTCTTATCATATAGAAGCACTCATTCATAATATTCATTGAGTTGTCACGGTAGCTAAAAGTTCGAACGCAATGGTCGGATAATCAGGTTGTGATGCAATTGTCCCATTATTGTAAATTTATCAAGCCAATTCGACATGATCCGGTGAAGCTCTGCATTCTCTAGGGACTTCTCGGTTATTTACGTATGAACTTCATTTGTTCCAGTGTGAAATTCGGGTTTTAAATGGTGCTTGAACATTGAAGGGTGGTGCAGTCAACGTTTTATGAAGGATACTGAAAAGGCCAATAGTGACAATGGAATGGATACTGAAGTTTTGCTTTGAGTTTTTGATACCACGAAGAATTTACTATTGTATTTTTTAGAGCACTGAATAATTCATGAGCATCATGTCGTATAGAATAGTAATACTTCCTCGGTTGTTGCTGCAGAAGGTTTGGCCTCCAGTTTCCAATGTAAAAGAAAAGAAAGAGGAAGAAATTTAACTATAATATAAGGTCCCCACCAAGGAAGTGTGTAAGTTAAACTAAATCCTGCGTACCAGTCTGGTTGATTATGACATTTAACTTTTGCTTACTTTTTATAGGTCCACCATCTTCATCATCGCCATCACAATAATCACTATTATTATCACCGCCACCATTGCCAATAATTCCTTCATCATCTTATCTCAATCATGTTCACCATCTCTACCACCTCCATTATCACCACCTTCAACTACTTGTTTAGAATGTCCAATCCATTGTTTTAATTAATTTCTTCTTGTAATCCGAAACTCTTTGTATGTATGAAATAAAAGCCAATTACCTGTGACCATATATATCATTGTGACTGCTCTATCAAAAAACATTCAATATGTCCAAGGCCGATTGCAAAAACATACAATCGATGACATGTCCGGAAGTCAGAATATAAATATATGTATAAAATATATGACAAAATAATCCCGTACTAAAAAACATTATAAAAATGTGATGTAAATTTATACGATCAGATTTTCGATAATTACATGTACTAGCAGGATATATACTATAATTAAAAGTTTTTTTATTAGTTGTCAAAAATTTATCACCTCAAAAAATAAATAAATAAATAATAATATTTTATGTTTATAACAAGATAACAAATATTAAATGTGTGGTCCAAGAAATCCATACTGGTAAAGGATAAAGGTTTTTCAAAAGATTGGCTTTAATTCATTAGAAGGAAGAATAGACTTTACATAATTGAAAATTTTTCCTTTTATACAGGCCTCACGTAACTCTTGTGGATCAAATTTGGGATACATATTTTTAATCTCGTTTTCTGTACGATAATTCATAAAGCCATAATCTACTCGCAAGGGATTTACAAGTCCTAAGAATTCACAAAGCACATATTGTTTAAGAGAATAGACACTTTTCATTGATTGTCTGTATCCTCGAAGCACCAATTTGTTTTCTGATAACCAAGGGTTATTATCACATTTTCTTTTTAACAAATCCAATACTTTTCCAGACACGTACGCATCATTGAATTCATCAATCTTACAATTCTTTTTAATGATAAGTTCTCGATATAGTGAAAGCAACTGCACTTCTTTTTCTCCTATCCAATCATCATCATATTTACAACTAGCAAATCCAAAGTCAATCCAGGAATCAAGTTCAATTCTTGGAATACAATTTGTGAGTATAATTATGTATAAACCAATAATATGACGCTTTGGTTCTGAAAAAGATTCGAAGGGAACTTTTTGATCACGTTCGGAAAGATTTGAAATATCTATCCGCCACAATTTTATCTGATTTTTCTCCTTGTTAAATATCTAGAGATCAGTGCTTCTCAATTCCATTATTGGTGGGAAAGTGCCGAATTAGCACTTAACATCAAAAAGGCATATGAAGAAGCGGGAGTGAATAGTGGATACTACCAATGGTTTTTAAAAAATGAGCATTTGTTTCGTGGTCTGTGTAAATATGAAGGCCAGCATATAAACCTAGCATCATACATTGATCTCTTGTATTTTCTATACAGTTATTAAAGCCATATTCGTAAAGTACTGCTTCATTCGTGGGTATTAAATCGTCAAAAACACTTGTAACAAGAAGGTCTGCAGACCTTGGAGAACATTCGATCTTATGTTTGGAGTAGTCTTTCTTTTGACACATTCGACTACAGTAATAACTTTTCATACACCTTGAACAGCATAATTTCGTAGGTCCTTTGCATACACTACATTCCATTTTTTCTATTACAGTCGACCGACACGTGAATATATTTGTTCTGCAAAACAAATGGTACTCAAATTTTAAAAGATAAAAAAGATAAAAATTCGGATGAAAAAATCAATAGATTATTTATAATATCGATTTATTATCAACAATAAAATAATAAAAATAAAATAATTAATTAATAAAAATAAAGTACAGTAATATAATAATAATATAAAAATCACCTCGTTCAGATAGTCTGAAGTGACACAAATTTCTAATGATGACGGAAAGACCACAACATTCTAGCAAATACTTAACTCACGTGATAAATAATCTAGATCAAGTTTATATATATATCTTAATTATTTATACTTTCTCTGCCGAACGAAAATTCAAGAAAAAATGGATGTAAGTGTATTTAAAAGTTCACACTATATAACACATATGAGATTATATGAGGTATTCGGACTAAATGGTCGAAAATTTTTTCTTAACAACGGGTTGATAAAATTTAGGTAGACTATAAAGCTCAAGGGAATAAAGCCTTCGCCGCACAAGAATACGATAAAGCCATAGAACTCTTCACAAAAGCAATAGAATTAGACCCTACGAATCATATACTTTACTCGAACAGATCAGCGTCTTATGCGTCTTTGAAAGAATATAACAAAGCCTTGGAAGATGCAAATAAGACTGTTGAATTAAATAAAACTTGGGCAAAGGTGCATTTTTATCTCGCGTCAGGGATTTTTTTTCTTTTTTTTTGCCAGTATCCATAAAATATTGATTAAATATTGATGCAAATCGTTGGGTTTTATATATAGGGTTATAATAGGAAAGGTACGGCTCTCTATCGTTTAGGCAAAATCGAAGACGCTCGCGAGGCTTATAAAGAAGGTCTTAAATATGAACCCGATAATGCTCAGCTTAAAAAGGCACTTGAAGATATTGATGCGAGCGATGATAGTAAGTTTTTTTTTTTTTTAAAAAAAAAAATTTCTTCAATTTGCATAAAGAACACTGTGAGAAAATGGTTTAAATTTATTAATTTATCAAAAGGTTTCGGAAAGATATTCCCCGATGATATGTTAGTCAAAATTGCTATGAATCCTAAATTAAAACCTTACCTTGATGACTCGGATTTCGTAAAAAAAATCCAAGCGATACAAGCCGACCCGTCTCAGCTCAACTTGTACGATAGAATTCTCTTTTTTTCGTTGTGTTCATGTATGCCTTGATATTACGTGAAATTTGATCGAATTTTTTATAAAAAGGTATTTACAGGATAATCGCATAAAAGAAGTGTTTATGTTCATGTTGACTGGTAATACGAATTTCGGGTCCGAGCAAAATGACTCATCAGAGGTAAAGTTTTTGATTTAACAATGTAGAAATAATATGCACATACGATATAGAAAAATTTCTAAATTACCGAAATTATGGGTAATTGATGTGATTATAGAATGAGAATAAGTCAAACCCTGAACCGGAACCTGCACCAAAAACAAGAGAAGTTCCTGAAGTTCCTGAGCCGGAACCCGTTGAAAAGTCCGAAGAGGAAATCAAAAAAGAAAACGCAGTAAAAGAAAAAGATCTTGGTAACGTCGCTTATAAAAAACGACAATTCGAAGAAGCACTCCAACATTATGATAAAGCTTGGGAATTGGACCCGACAAACATTACTATCTTAAATAATAAGGCTGGTGAATATAATAACATATTTTAGTAATATAATTTTCTGTACAATATATACATATTATATATTTGCTAATGTTTAACTTTTTAGCTGTGTTATTTGAGCAAGAGAAATATGAGGAATGCATTAAAACTTGTAATGAGGCCATTGATGTTGGTCGAGAATGTCGCGCAGATTTTAAATTAATCGCCAGGTATTAATTATTCATATAATTTATCTTTATAACTTAATATAAAAATTATTTATCTAATAATTATAATCATTTAGAGCGCTAGGAAGAATTGGAAATGCGTACGTCAAGCTCGGTAAAATCGATGATGCCATTAAATATTATAATAAATCATTGACAGAACACCGAACTGCTGATATACTTACCAAATTAAATGAGACCATAAAGTTAAAAGCTAAAGTTGAAAAAGAAGCTTATTACAATCCCGAGCTTGCTGACAAGGCTCGTGAAGAAGGCAACGAACTTTTCAAGAAAAGTGACTTTTCTGGTGCCGTCCAGAAATATACAGAAGCGATTAAACGTAATGATAAAGAACCAAAATCTTATAGTAATCGAGCTGCTTGCTATACTAAATTAATGGCATTCCAAGAAGCGTTGAAAGATTGCGAAATTTGCATTAGTCTTGATCCTACCTTCGGTAAATTTTTATTAATTTATTTATATATTTATTGTGTATTTGATATTTTCTATTTACAATAAATTTAATTAAAAAAATCTTTTTTTTTTGAGTATAGTAAAAGCATATCTTCGTAAGGCCGCAGTGGAGTTCTTAAAAAAAGAATATTCAAATTGCTTAACAACATGTGAAATAGCTTTGAAACATGATGATGGCAAACATGCTTCAGAAATCAATGCACAGATTATGAAATGTCGTCAAGCAATGTATTCAGGTCAAGATACACAATCGCAAGAAGAAATACTTCGTAAGGCCTCTAGCGATCCAGAAATTATGGTACGTATATTTATAATTTATAAAAGTAGATCTTTATAATAAGATACACTGTATATGTATTTACGCTTTTCTTTTTTGAACAGAAAATTTTGCAAGATCCCGTGATGCAACAAATTTTGCAACAAAGCCAAGAAGATCCGCGAGCACTCATGGAGTAAGTTAAATTTATTTTTGTAAAAATTTATATTATTATCATAAAGACATATAATTAATAATATTAATTATGAATATTTGTAGACACCTCAAAAATCCTGTCGTCGCGTCTAACATTCAAAAATTAATGAATGCTGGTATATTGAGGACCGCTTGAGTTAATTAATCTATCCTTTAATATATTAAAAATTATAGTCGTCCAGGTCATCGTGGTCTCGTAGTCATTAATTTTACACGCAGTATTCATGTAATATCTGCATAAATAAAATAGTTTTTGTATTTATTTCGTAACTAAAAATAATTAAAATAATAAAAAACGTACATATTTATTGTATCAGTCCTTTTTTGTATCTTTTTTATAGTGCAAAAAGATATAATAAACCAGAGGCAAATGCTCGCAAAGAACTAAAATTTATTTTCAAATAATTTATATTGTATTGTAACAATGTGATCAAATGTTGATCCTCATTTTACAAAAATAAAAATTTGGTAATTCAAATATTTAAATACTTTGTTTATCGTTCATACATTTACAATAATTCATTTGTTCATTCACAAAAAAAAAAAAAATACAAGTTTTTAAATTGTACATTATCTTTTTCTTCAAAATAATAATATTCCTTAAAAAGTTCCATTCCAAAATTGAAATTACTACCTTTCAAGTTTTCGTTAGTACAAATAATATCAATGTTACATAATGAAATTTCTATCAATGAAATGATTCTAACATTTAAATCAAAATTTTCCGATTCTTCTAAAGTTCCAAACGAAAAAAAAAATGCCAATAAAAATAAAATTTTTTGTTTGAATAAAAAAAAAAAACTAATGCAATAAAATGTTAAAACAATTTCAAATGCTTGAAGACAAATGTATTCTCAAAAATTTGTCATTTTGTGTCTTTGTTTTTTTCATGCCATTTGATAAGGCATTGGGTTTATTTCCCTCCTATTATTGTATTTAGTTTCGTGGTTGTTATTATTAAGGTGATGATGCGAATCATTATTCACCAACTTATTTGAAACGGTTGATTGCTGAGGCACGGATGATCCCGTTTGTGAAGGTGAAGTTCGATTATAATTCAATGCTTGAAAATATGAGGATTGTGGTGATAAATTATTTAGTGATGACGGAGGGGTACCATAAATAGATGGTGAAGAGGTTGGCGGGTATGAAGGAGAAGTAGAAGGGGAAATGCGATTCTGAGAATGTTGTCGATGTGGTTGTAAATGACCGTAATATTTTTCATAACTCGATGCCGTATTCTGATAATATGCAGTAGATTGATGCATTTGAGCTACAGGTGGTGGTAAAGCTAGTTGATGTTGCTGTTGTTGAGACCCTTGAGATTGATTGGTTTGACCAATGTAAGGCGATGAACTGGGAGTTGAATATTGACCAGGAGAATTTCGGAAAAATGAGGTCGGTAAATCATATGATGGTGATGAACGATAATTAGTAATACGAGACTGTGTTTGATTTATAACGGGAGACATAACATTGACAGAAACTGCAGGTAAGGGAGATGGATGACGAAGTCCAGATTGTTGGTAATTATGTTGCGGTAAAAGCGGTCTTTGTTGTGTGGATGGTGACGATGATGATTGCCATGACTTATTATTATTATTATTGTTATTATTATTATTACTATTATTATCGTTTATAGTACTCTGCTGTTCAATTTGTATTTGCTGAAGTGATTTTTTATGATATTGCTGTGTCAAATGTAAGGTAGGTCCAGATGAACTTACAACACTATCATCTAAACCACTACTAACGACAGCGGGATTTATTGAAATACCATTTGGCATACCTCCAGGCATCTTTACTCCGGTTCTTAATCTTTTTTCATTGTTACCATTATTATGTATATCAACAGGTGAATTTGATGTTACACTCTGGTGTCGTTCATCTTTATGTGAATTTCCTTCTTTTTGACGTCTTCCTTCTTTATCATTCCAATCATCTCCTATTTGAATTCCAACTACTTCATTTGTATTGGATTTGATATTTGAAAATGGATCAGTTGCACGTCTATCTTCCCCTTCAACTATAACAGAGAATTGAGTGGCATCTAGTTGTTGATTTTGGTCTTGTAATAATTGCAAATGTGGATAAGGTGGTTGTGGCAATCGTTTTGGATCTTTTTCCCTCGTTATTCTGGAATATTCTCCTGGTGATGAGCCAAGATTACCTGGAGAAACAAGTGCTGCAACTCTTTGAATTTGTGGTGGAACCTGAATATTCCCAATTGTACTAGCTCGAGGTCTCAAAGAGGCCATACTTGATTTAGGTGTTAAAGAAGATATTTTATTAGATTTTTGTTGCATTTGTAACCTTTGTGTGTTTACAGATTCTGAATGATTAGTTCCATGGGACGTTACTTTCACTGAAGGCATTTCATGAGCAGTCAAATTTTTGTGTTGAGCTTGCGGTGAAGTATTCGTTTTTGGTTTATATTGTGAAGGTGAAGGCATTCGAGATATAAGTGATGATGATTGAGAAGTTGAAGATGGAGGAATACTAGTTTTACTTTTAAGTAGCATTGGAGGAACAAATTTTCCAGTGAACTTTTCCCCTGTTATGAATGGATGTAATTTTGCTTGTTGTGGTGACCATCTTTCAATTGGATTGAGATTCAATAATCCTTGTACAAAATCGATGAATGCCAGCCGATTTTGCATTTCTATAAATGAATAAAATAAATCAAGTTATTATTATTATTATTATTTATTATTAGATATAATATATTGTTTTTTGAGTAAATAAGAAGATAAAAACAAATAAAACAGATAATATAAATAAAAATAAATATAATATATTACACTTACCTTTATCTATGTCTTTCTGAGTCACTCCCTTTCGCATAATTGGATAAGATTTTATAATCTCTGGAAGTGTTGAAGCTGAGAAATATCTCTTAGAAGGTTGTTCAACACAATTATTTTCTCTCATGTATTGTTCCATTGATTTCAAACGATACTTTTTTTGTCCATGATCATTAATATAACGATCGAAATATTCATGTGCTGTTTTTCCAACTTCTATCATATATAATGGAGGAACACCTAATATTTCTACAATTCTAGATATTTGATTATATTCCGAACTTCCTGGAAACAACGGCAATCCAAGAAATAATTCTACAGCTATGCAGCCTAGTGACCACATGTCTATAGAAGATGAATACCTAAAATTAGTCATCGAAAATGATTAATTAAAAGGATTAAACAAGTGCAATAAACAAATAATATAATAAACATAATTTCAATCAGAAAATTAATTGCTAACAGTTAACGTACGGCAACCCCAATAATACTTCCGGACTACGGTAAAATCTAGATTGAATATATGTGTATACGGTTTGACGTTCATGACACGCGGACCCAAAATCTATTACTTTGATTGTTGGAGACTCCAAACTATATTGATATATATAAAAAAAAAAGGAAAAAAAAAATTTAATTTATAGAAATTTGTAGGATAAAAAAAAATTATTACCTCAAGAATTATTATTAGCCAATATAATATAACCCACGAAGATTTCACCCACTTTTTCAACAATACATTTTCAGGTTTCAAATCACAATGAATTATACGTGCTTCATTCAAAACTGTCAACGAATCCAGTAATTGAGCAGTAAACACTCTAACGAGGTTCGTGCTAAGCCCACGGAATTGATTTTGCTTTATCAATTCGTAGAGATTAACCGATAGAAGCTCGAATACCAAGCAAAGGTGCCGACGATGAATAAATGTGTCTAATAGCCTTAATATATGATGTTGATCTTGGTTATCCCATGTTTGATTTAGCTGGTTAATTTTCAAAAATAAATAAATAAAAACTTTCTGATAAAAAATAAGAAAAATTTTATTTAATAAAATCTATTTTTACCAACTCCAAAATTGTCACTTCCATCATACTCTGATTAAAATATGCAGGTTTATTTTTAACAATTTTGACGGCCACAGTTTTTTTTGTTTTCAGGTTTAGACATTTTACAACTTGTCCAAATGTCCCTTGTCCCAAAATATCTAATATGAGGTATCTAAATGATTTCCAAAGAAATGTTTTAATTTATTATTTTAATAATAATAAAAAAAAATTATTGAATAACTTACTTTTGTCCCTCCTCACTCCCTAATATATCGTTAACATATAAAATATAATCACTGTCCTCGTTGTCATATCCATCATTTTTTGTACCTTTTGAAGGTTTTGTCAAAACTCGACGAGGATTATATGACAATTCATATCGAAATTCGGAGTTAACATTATTATATGTTGAAGTAAGGAACACAGTCAATGATTTTAATGGCTGTTTTTATTGTTTTATTGTGACGATAATTAAAATGATGAAAAAATGAAAAATGAATGAAAAATGAATGAAAATAAAAATAAATAAAAATGACCTAAAATATTACAATATAAATAACATACACTGACTGCTTCATTCCCGGAATCTGGATTGCGATATGCCAAATCAGATTTTGATCGGATACGTTGAAAAGCGGATCCACGAAAATCTGGTTTTGAGACATGATCACGCGTCGTCGACGAGGAATGTTGTGACGATTTGTTAGGGGATGAAGAAACAACAGAATTGACAGAATTGGACATTGTGGGATGAGAATTTGGAGAAGATTGCGAATTAGAATATATAGTCTGATATACATTTTGTATCGGAGGTGTAGGTTGACTTTGTATTTGCGACGGTTGATTCGAATGATTAAGTGAAGGACGTTGATGTTGTTGATGTGGTTGTGGTTGTTGTTGATGTTGTTGTTGATGTTGGCGAATAGTAGTTGTTATTGAAATTGGAAGTGATGGTTTCTTTTGTGAATGAGATGAAGGAAGATGTTGCGTTTGTTGTTGTTGTTGTTGTTGTTGTGGAATTGACGTTTGATTTGTTCCGGACAATGAACGTTGGTGATGCGATATATTTTGATTTTGGGAATAATGACTCGATGGAGTGTTTGGAATATAATTAACTGAACGTCTTCTGCCATGTCCATCAAGAACCTCCTGACGATGTGAAATATTCTGTGATGAAAATGATTGATTTTGTACATTTAATTGTGAATGTGAAGGCGAGGATGAGGTTGCCATCATCGGCATGGAAGACAATTGTTTTTGCGAGAAATCATCACTTATAGTTATCCCTACGAATTCATTTTTCTCGGCATGATTATATTTGTGTCCGGAATGTTGTGAATATGAAGTATTCTGTTCAGTACATCCTCTACCCTGTCCTTCCATTATCTTTGTTAATGACTATAAATCAGATAAATATTTGTGAGTTATTTAAAGATCTATAACAAATAGTTCGATTTTTTATAAACTAATGAAAAACTTAAAAACTGGTTTATGCAAGAAATTTTAAAAAAGTAGGCTAAATTAATTGGTATAACACCTGTTTTATTAATGCTGAATTTTTTTTTAACACATAGGACTTAAGACAAAGTTTATTGTATAAAAAAGAAATATAAAAGATATTTTACGAACGCGTTCTCACTTTAATATTTTCAAAGTGTCGATTTTTTAATAAAGTCGAGAGTGGATTCTCGATTGAAAAAAAAGTTAAAGAAGTAGAACTCAAAATAAGAAGTATATTGTTTTTTTTTTGAGAATTTACATATAGACACTATGCGATCTTAATAAAAGATTGTTCAAATCGCCAAGCGAATACAAAATGAATTTTGGGGCAACTTTTTAAAAGAGGTTCGCTCAACTTTCTTTCATATTATCGAAATTTGTTTACTAGAATAGGTAATTTTCATGTAATTATTGTAATTATTTACGGCGGAAATTCCAGTTAGTTACACGCAATAACCTTACCCCTGGATTAGTATTTGCACGTGATTTTAATTGGTTTCTTTAATATTTTTTTTTCAAATTTATTATATTTATAATCTGTCTTTAGAAGAATACCAAGTAAGATTCTGGGTAATAAGAAATTTCTTATTATATTTTTATTTCCTGTAATTCAAATTTAATAAAGATAAATATTTTAATAGGTATTTTGTTTAAATTTATTATTTAATAATATTTTTTTAGTATTACTAATAGATATAATTCAATTAATATTAAAGTTAACTTATATTAAAAATAAATTTGTTATATATTGGAAATATATTATATGATATAATTAATTACTTACTGTGATTTTCTTTATTTATTTAAAAAGTTCTAATATATTTAAATTTTACTTATATATAAATTTAGTAAATACTTTATTATATAAAAAATAAATCTTATTGTAAATATAATATCTCAATTATTACTTAATATTAATTATTTAATATTTTTGAAAATTTGAAAATTTATTGTTTGATTTGTTAAAAAATATATTCAAAAAACAAATTATTTTAATTTTTAAAATTTTAATTTTTTTTAAGTCTTAAAAAACTAAATAAAAGTTATTGCTAAAATTCACTATCAGTAATTGTTATTATATTTTACAGTAAAATTAATTAAAATTAATTATGTCAGCTAAAATTGCACTAGTCAAATAAAAAAAATTAAACAGGTTTATTATAAATAAAATTTCAATTGATAATAAGTTTTACTAAAATTTATTAATTGATTTATAAGTAAGAATTTTCAATTTATAAATAGAAATTTATGTTTTATAATTTTTATAAATTGTTACTAATAAGATTCTAATCTTTGTTTATCAATTTTATCTTTTATAAAAACTATTTGACTTTTTTTCTTCAAAATTAATTTTGAAATTATACAAATATATTTTGAATACAAGTATAAATTAAAGGTTAAAGTTATATTTTAAACTCAATTAAAGGATATATCTTAAACTCAATTCAAAAATTTAGAATCATATTTTAAACTCAAGTTAATTTAAATTGTCAACTTGTTAAAAGTACTAGGTAAAATAATCTTATTATTGATTACAAAATAATATATATTTTATTTTTATAGTTCTAATATTTATAAAATTATTTTAGTTTAAAAAAAAATATCTGAAAAATCATATAAATCTTTACAAAATTACTATATTTCAAAAATTTTTACAAAAATTTTAACATTATTTTTTATAACTATTTTTTTAAACTAAAATAACTTTACAAATATTAATACTTTAAAAATAAAATATATATTATTTTATAACTAAGAACAAGGTTATCTTATTTATTATAGAAATATCTTAGCAAAAAATTATTTTATAAATGAAATTAAAAAATATAAAATGTATAAAACTTTTAAAAATAAAAAATATTATATAAATAATTTAATTTCAAAAGTTTATTTATAATATCTAGATAAAATTAAATTATATAAATTCAGTTTTAACTCTTAATTAAGAACAAAACTATTTAATCTATCATAAAATATTTTAATATAAATTATTTATCTTATAAATTATAAATAAAATTAAAAAAAAATATAAAATAAAATTAATTATATTTGATATAATATTTCAAAAATATTATATTACACAAGTGATGTTAAACACTATAATATATATTGTAGAAATTAGAATTAAGATTTTTAAAGATAGTATATTTATTATTATATATCACACTTTTTAAATATTAAATATCTTAAGGACTTAAAAATTTTTTTACATATAAAAAACATATTTGTTATTTAATATTTATTATTAAATATTTATCATATATAAAATAATTTCAATTATTTAAACATTATAATTTATTATTTAATTATGTGTTTTATTTTTATTAATTAATAATTATACTATATAGGTATTGCCCAAATTCAAAATGCTAAATCTCAAATCTCAAATTACTAATTACCAAAATCCCAAATTCCAAATTATGCCAAATCCCAAATTCCAAATATTATAAAATTGAATTTTGATAGTTGAAATATTAAAATAATTTGAGATTTGGATAGTATATATATTATATTAGTATTGAATATTACTAGTGTGATTTAATAATATCATAATATTTTAATTAAATTAATTTTAATAAATATATATAATTATTATTTATTTATTTTATAATAATATTATTTTATTCATTTTGTTTTTTTTTCAAATTTAGATTAGATCTGAAACTAAATAATTTTAGTTTATTCTTATTATTAAAAAGAAATTTTTTTTTTTAAAAAATTATAAAATTCATTAATAATTTTTACTCTCTCATACAAATTCTAATATTATTTTATATTTTATATTTATATTTATTATTATATTTTTTTATTTATATTTATTTTCATTAATTATTTTTAAATAAATATTATTATAATTTAATATATATTTCAATTTTATATGTCTAAATTATATTTATATTATACCTGCCACCCAAATTCAAAATCCAAATGTTGAAATCCCAAATGCCAAAATCTCAAATTCCAAATCCCAAATTATGATTAGTATTTTTTGCCGAAATCCCAAATTCCAAATACTAGTATCTTGGAATTTGGGCAACACGTATAATTTATATATAAAATTATTTAAAATCTTGAAATTACAATTTTGAAAAACAAAGTCAAAATAGTTTTTTATAGAAGACAAAATTATTTTACTTAAAATCTGAAATTTTTTAACTATTTAGATAAATTCTTTAGTTAAATGTATATTTAATTAAGTATTTTTTTTACTTCTATGTATAAAATAAATTCTATATAAATTTTAAAAAGACAAAATATTCTAAAAATTAAAAATCAATTTTGAAAATATGTATAGTCTAAATTTTATTTTTTCAATAATCATTAAAATAAGTTATATAAACTTTCTTTTTTTTATTTAATAAATTAATAAAAAAAAATCAAAAAAAGTATTTCAATATTATATAATAATTATAATTTATTTTAATATAATTTTATTTTATAAACTATTAATTCTATTTTAAATTTTATTTATTATAGTTTGTTAATAAGTTATTATTAAAAATATAATATTATATAATTTTACAATTAAATATAAATCTTATAACTCTACACTTCTATTTATAATATTAGGAAAATTTCACTTACAAATATATGCAGATATATTTACAATTAATAAAAATTAAATATATGTAAATATATTTGTAAATATATGTAAATATATTTGTAAATATATATGAATATATTTGTAAATATATGTGAATATATTTGTAAATATATGTGAATATATTTGTAAATATATGTGAATATATTTAATATAATATATAAATTAATGTGAATAAATGTGAATTAATGTGGATTAATGTGATTTATGTGAATAAATGTATGAATAAACAAATATATCTAAATATTCATCTCCAAAAATTTTCTAATGAAGTAAATTGAATTAAGTTGATTAAAAAATTTTATTAGATATAAATTTGTAAAGTAATAAGCTCAATTATACTAGTTAAATATAAAAGATTTACTGTACCAAATGGTAATTCCTATATTATAAATCAGCTAAAAATTGGTCTAAATCAACTGCTCTATTGCATCCTATATTATAAATCAACTAAAATCCAAATTTTTTTGGTACAACAATTTTTTTGTATTTGACCTGTATTGATATTAAGGTTAATTTAATAATTGTATCTTTAATTAATTAATTTTGTGTTAATTAAATTTTAATTTAAAATTACTTAAATTGTACTAATTAAATTCTTAAAAGTTAATTAATTTTATATTAACTAAATTCTAATACAATTTCAAATTAATTAATATAATTTTAATTATATAATAAAATAATTAATCTGATTAAATTATAATAATAATATTTTATATTATATAAATTGCAAATAATAAAGAAGACATGAATAAAATTTTTTATTCAGATAATAGGTCACAAGTATATCTCTTTTTAAAGTTAGTCTGAATCTCATTTTTACAATAGATATTTAGATAAGTTGTGTATTTTATATTATATAATAATAATGTAAGAGACTTTTTTTTTTTCTTAATTAATAAATTTGAAACAAGAACTTGCTGAAACTTTAAAAAAAAAATAAATAAAATTTCTTATAAACTAAGTAGTCAGGTTCTATAAAATTTAACTTAAGTTTTAAAAATTGAATTGAACTTAAGTATATATATTACTTAAATTCAAAATAATTTAAAATTTGAAATTTGAATATTAATATTATAATATTTGAAATTTAAAATTTTGACATTTGAAATTTGAATTTAAATGATATTTATAAATTTATATTTAGTCAAATTTAAAAATTAGGATCTAGTTTAACTTGTAGATCTAGTTAAATTCACCTAAGTTAATTTAAGTTTGATTTAAGTTCACAAATCTAGGTTAAACTTATAATATTAGAAATTAAATAAAAATATTTTATAATATTATATGAACACTATTCATTTAGCATTCTTAGAATGATACTAATATACTCGAATGCAATATTCTAGTATATTATTTGAACATTTTGTACTTATAATATATCAAAATACAGTATTTTAGTGTATTATTTAAATGTTTCATACTTATAACATACTAGAATACATTATTCTAGTATATTATTGAAACATTTCATACTTATAACATATTAGAACACAATATTTTAATATATTATTTAAACATTTGTACTTATAGTATACTAGAATACCTTTATAAAATTCCTGATAAAGTTTAAATTAGATTTGTAAATTTGAGTTGAGTTAATAAGCACTAGTCAAATACAAAAGAATTACTGTACTAAATGATAATTTCTATACTATAGATTAGCTAAAAATCAGTAACAATTGATTATCATATTATATTCTATATTATAAATAAGCTAAAATTGAAATTTTTTTTTAGTATGACATTTCTTTTGTATTTAACCTGTGAGACTTAAATTAAACTTATGAACTTGAATTAAATTTACAAGTTTTCTTAGTTTAATATAATTTTAAATAATAATAACTCAATAAATATTAGTAATAAAAAATTTTTTATTACTATTGTAATATTTTATTTCAAGCTTTTAAATAATATTAAAATACTATAATAAAAAATTACTTTTTATTGTATTTGACTATATTGCAATAATTTAAATATTTTAATAAAATTGTTTACAATTATAAATTATAAATTATAATTACAATTCAACCTGTTTATAATTATACCTTATAATCACATATATATAATAGTTATTTTATATTTATATGTAAAATAAATATTTCAAAAACCAATTTATTTTAATATATATCAAGTAATTACAAATGTAATGTAACACCTGATTTTTTGTCTTTAGCTTCTGAACAATAGATTTTAGAACAATAGTTACTATACATATTTTAATCTTTAAATTTTGAAGATAATTTTGATATCAATTTATAATTTGATTTTGCATAAATGGGTTGCTACTTAATAAATTTTATACAGATCAAGATAATTATAAGGTTAATTGTCCTTCTTAAAGAGAATAAGTATGCCAAATTTCATAACAATTGGATTAATGGATTTATGTTATTGCTATGTACTGTGTTACATGCTTTGATAATTTTCTTCAGTAACAACAAATTAAGCATTCCAATTATTATCTCTCTTCAAGATAATAATTAAACCTTTATTAATAAAAATATTCACCAATACTTAATATTCAGATAATTATTAAAAAAAAAAAAGGCACATGACAATCTCTTATCACTCCTAGAGGCGACGCAGTCTATCTAGTGTTATCGGATTCTATGTCGGTTAGGGTTAATTTTTTATTTTTTTAAATCGTCCGAAGGTTACTCAAATTACTGTAGTTGGTAATAAAAATTTTCCACCAACTATTTCACGGGGATTCCGGATCATTTTTAAATATAGCGCTCAGCATGGTTTCTCAGATTACAACTCTTACCGTGACAGCTAAAATTTTTTTTAGTTATATCCTAATATCGTTGTCATATTACCATCTATATAAACAACCCTCTTATATTGCTTTCGTCCTTAATCAAAAAAAGTGAAGTTATATTTTATCTTATATTCAAGATGACAGGTGAGTATCAGATAACCGTATAGACGTCTATGAATAGCTTTTGAGCAACATTTCTTCTCCTTGGCTTTCATTTCAATCTGCCTTTACGTTACCTCCGAAAATTTAAATGTTTATTATAATTAAAAAAAGTTTTCGCTACAAAGGAACTTACTATACTCATTCCAAGCTGAGTCTTAATATACTTAAGTCAGCTTTATCAACCGTTAATAATACCTATTTCTTTTCATCCTCGTTATTTTTATTTCTCTTCTTTCTGTACACATCTTTCTTCTTATATCCTTTTCTCGAAACCTTTACAATTTTAACGAATTACGTGCTACTTAATGAATTTGCTTCATTTATGAGCTCTAAATTTTGACACCTTACATTTCATTATTCTTTTTAGAGTAGCCTGTATTATAATATTACTCTTTTATGTTCTTTACTTTATTTCCCTTTCCTAAATCGATCATCTCTGTCGTCATCTGTAAGATTCTTATTTTTTCGCGACTTAACTTTTTTCATTTATGCTTTTGCCGTGTTTTTATTCCTTATTTATTAGAATAGTTTATTATATTCTTTATACTATTTAATCCACACGTGCATTTTACGTTATTGCAATTTAAACGCGTACCTTGTTTTCTATTCCATCCCCCCGAAATAACGTTAATACATAGATCTTCATTATTTGTTGACCTAACATCTTTGAGACGTTCTATTTACATTTTTTAACATATTACTTTATCTACTCTTCTCTTTTACTCAATTAAAAGGTATGGAGTTTATGGAGCTCGATCCCGAACTTTACGGATTGCGAAGGTCAAGACGTATAAATACAACACAACGTTCCGTCAACTACAGAGTAAGTTTCATATAATTAACTTAATATTATTAACTATATTAAAACTATTTCTACTCCAATATTAAATCGTTTTCAACGTTATGCTTTACTTTAGGAACCTCCTTCAGAAGGAGACTCGGACGGTGAAGATTATGAAGGCTCCAATCCAAGGAAAAGAAAGAAGGACGATCTTAATGGTCAAAAGACCGCTCCTAAAAAGAAAACAAGAGTAAAGCGATCACAAGGTGAATACTTTATACATTTTTTTCGTATGTCCCTTTCCTTACATAGAACTGATCCTTTATCAACCATTTCTCATATATTATATGTATTCAGTGGACGGTGGACATTGGTCTACGTCCGCTACTAACGACGAAAGCGGTCCAAGCACAGCCGCTTCCCCCACAGCAGCTGTGTCAGACGATTACGACTGGAATTCATCAAATAAAGCATCATCATCGAGGGCCAGTAAGAAAAACAAGTTTATAACCGCCGACGACTTCGTTATAGAAAACCGATACTCAAGACGGACCCGAACTGTCACAAACTATAACGAAGACGAACTCGACAAACAACTTGGATTGGAAGCCGAAGAAGATGAAGTGCAAGGGGATGATTTCTATCAAGATGAAGAAGGTGAATTTAAATGATAATACATTTGTTAATTTTTTATATACTTACATTTCTCCTCTTACTTATGCTATAGACGAGAACGTAATCGAAAGCATACATGATATACAAAAGGTTGAAGGAATAGGTACGTGCTTTATGAATCACATATTTGCATACTAAATTTAAAACATCACGAAGGTAGTTATATATATATATATATATTTTCTTTGATAATAGATACGGATGAACCGGCAGACCCTAAGACCAACATGGAATTATTAATCAAATGGAAAGGTTGGAGTCATTTACACGATACTTGGGAGACATATGAAAATCTTCGTGGGTTAAAAGGCTTCAAGAAGTTAGAAAACTACATCAAGAACTATATGATCGAACAAGCTATATTATTCGAAAACCCTGAAGAGAAAGAAACAATTAATGTAGATAAAGAAATGAACCGAGAACAACTTAAGGAGTATAAGACTGTTGAGCGTATAATTGCCGAAAGAAGAATTCCCGCCCCAGATGATAACTCTGTTGAATATCCTGAATACCTTTGCAAATTTAAACTTCTCTCTTATCAAGATTGTACATGGGAACCTCATGATGTCATTAAAAATGAATTTGAATCGGAAATAACTTCCTTCTATGAAAGAAGCAATAGTCTCTGTGTGCCTCATAGGAATAAAGTATATCACAAAAACCGACCTGCATTCAAACCACTAACAACGCAACCGAGTTATTTAGTTGGTGGCGAGCTACGTGACTTTCAACTTACCGGACTTAACTGGCTATCACATTTATGGTCACGCAATGAAAACGGTATACTAGCTGATGAGGTAAATAATTACGTGTATCTATGTGACAACATTAATCAACGTATAATGTTATTGTTCTGACCCTCTAATATTCTTCCTATAAAATAGATGGGTTTGGGTAAAACGATTCAGACGATATCATTTCTTTCATATCTCTATCATTCCTTGGAACAATACGGTCCTTTTCTTGTTGTTGTCCCCTTGTCGACTATTGGATCGTGGCAAAACGAATTCCAAACATGGGCACCTGAAATGAATGTCATCATCTACACCGGTACATCCCCCAGCCGTGAAGTTATACGAGAGCACGAATTCTATATTCCTTCGAATCCTGGCTCCAAAAAAATCAAGTTTAACGTTTTGATTACCACTTATGAATATATTCTGAAAGATAGGCAAGAACTTGGTGCTATTAAATGGCAATATTTGGCTGTTGATGAAGCACATCGTTTGAAAAATAGCGAATCGCAACTTCATGAAGTTTTATCAACATTTCACACTTCAAATCGACTTTTAATAACCGGTACTCCGTTGCAAAATTCCTTAAAGGAATTGTGTTCTTTATTAAACTTTCTCATGCCAGATTTTGAAATAGCCGGTGACATTGATATCGACGCCCCTGATGAAGAGCAGGAAATAAAAATTCGCGAGCTCCACAAAAGTCTAGAACCATATATGCTGCGTCGTCTCAAAAAGGACGTCGAAAAGTCTCTTCCTCAGAAGACAGAAATGATCGTGAGGGTCCTTTTATCACCTTTACAGGTGCATTATTACAAAAATATTCTCACAAAGAATTTCGACGTGCTTAATGAAGGAGTTACCGGTTCTTCTCAAATGAGTCTTTTGAATATTGCTGTCGAATTAAAAAAAGCTAGCAACCATCCTTACTTATTTCCAAATGCAGAACCATTTTCCAATAGAAAGGATGAACAACTTCACGGCATAATAGCTAGCAGCGGAAAAATGGTGCTACTTGATAAATTACTGGCCCGTTTAAAAGAATCAAACCATCGTGTTCTAATTTTTTCTCAGATGGTTAAATTGTTGGATATTTTGACCGACTATCTTAAGCTTCGGGGCTATCTGCACCAACGTTTGGATGGCAGCGTTCCTTCCGAAGCTCGTAAAAAGGCTATCGACCATTTCAATGCTCCCAATTCTCCTGATTTCGTATTTTTGTTGTCGACTCGTGCTGGAGGTTTAGGTATTAATTTGAATACGGCCGATACAGTAATTATATTTGATTCCGACTGGGTATGTTTATTTTTCTAATTTCTGGTGCAAGGCATAATTTCGATGCAACAAATTCTTATTAAATTTTAACTCATTTAATACATTACAGAATCCTCAAAATGATTTACAAGCAATGGCTCGTGCCCATCGCATTGGCCAAAAAAATCATGTTAATGTATATCGATTTGTTTCAAAAGACACGATTGAAGAAAGCATTCTCGAACGCGCTAAGAGAAAGATGGTCCTCGAATATTGCATCATAAATCATATGGATACTTCCGGCAAAAGAATTTTACAGAAGAATCCAAAAAGTTCAAAACCTACGGAAAACTTTAGTCGCGAAGAATTATCTACCATTCTAAAATTCGGGGCCCAAAACATTTTTAGGGAATCGGAGGAAGCCGCAAACTTTGATCTAGATCTTGACGATATTCTTGCTCGAGCTGAAAAACATGATACTGCAGGTGATCAGTCTGGTACGAGCTTAGGTGGTGAAGAATTTCTCAAGCAATTTCAAGTTGCGGACTTTGGTGGTGGCGATATTAGCTGGGATGAAATTATTCCCAAAGAAGAAAGGGAAAAAATTGTCAAAGAAAATTCCGAAAAAGTTGGAACACAAGGGCAAGATCCTCCCGATTACGAAACTAAGGCTGGTTTGAAACGAAGTGCGGTTTCACAAGAAGGGCGTACCAAATTAGCAGAACTTGATTCATCTGATGACGATGACGCACCACCTAAAAAGAAATCTAAAATCATTCGTAAGAAGAAGAAAATTAGTCGTAAAAAACGATTGGATTCAGATGATGAGGAACGACCTAAAAAGCCCAAAGCAACTAAGAAGACTAAAATATCATCTTACGAAGAAGGTAGCAAATCGAAGAAAAAGACTAATGGTAATGGTCGTAATAAGTATAAAGATTCAGATGGAGAAGGTGAAGATGATGATGAGAGACCAAATGGAAGCAAAAAAAAATATGACGAATCGGAAGATGAAGATCGTCCCAGAAAGAAAACGAATGATGGTAGAAAGAAAAATTCTGATTCTAGCAGCGGAAATATAAAGAAAACATCAGAAACAACAAACTCAAAATCTTCACGAGAATTGACTATTAAAGAAATAAGAGCTCTTTACAGAAGCGTTTTGAAGTTCGGAGATATCCGCGAACGTTTAGACAAAATTGTTGATGACTCCGAATTAACTGATAAAAGCGAAGAACAATTGTATGCTGCGTATGATGCTTTATATGAAACCTGCGAAAGAGCCGTAAAAGATTATGAAGCATCCAATAGCCAACAATCCCGTTCAGTACCTAATCCACGCGGAAAATCAATTCAGGCAACATATAATGGATGTGATAAGCTCAATGCTGGAATGTTAATCCAGCGTATTTCTGAATTGCGAAGTTTACATAAAAAAATGAAAAATTTTTCTGAACCTGAAAAGTTCCGGATTGATGCAACAACAAAACCAGCTAACAATTGGCATATAACGTGGGGACGAAAAGACGATCTGATGTTGATTGCTGGTATTTATAAGTATGGCTTTAGTAGTTGGAAAGAAATTGAAGAGGATCCTCGCCTTGGCCTTTCAGGTAAATTGGTTGACGAGGCAGGAGACTCACGATCAGCCTCGGCCCTGGTGGCAAAAGTTAATCGTCGGGCAGACTATCTTTTGAAGTTAGTCCACGAGTTGCAAGAGGAGGAGGATGAAGAACAACAAAGGGTATGTGTAAAAACTAAAAAAACCAGAAAAACAAAAAAAGAAAAACAAAAATAAGAAAAAATAAGTTTGGAAATCGGGTTGGATCTTTATAGGAGGTTAATTAATAGAGAAATTTCATAGCCTTTTCAAAAATATATATATATAAAATGTAATAACAAAGTAAAATAAATAAAATATCAAAAAACCCATCCAAAAAGATAGAAATATATATATATATATATATATATATATATCAATGTAAAATAGTTGTAAAAAAAAAAAAAAAGTTATTATACAGCCAACTCAGGATGTAATGGACTTGGACATAACGAACTTTAAATTTCTAAAAACAGTAAATTTAATATAATTTATTGTAATAATTTATAATGATTTTTAAATTTAAAGATCGTTATATCCAAATTCATACTTTACTGTACTTTAAATTATTATTTCAAATTTTTACTTTAAATTTTAATTTCTAATATACATGCATATATATATTATATGAATGTATAATATAATACGTTTATAGTTAGCGAACCGAAGATCTAGAACTCGTAATGATGAAGTTCCTAAAAAATCATCGAAGTTGGCAGTGGAATCCGACGAAGCTCCATCTGATAGAGAATGCAAGGAGCTACTGCGCCCAGTCAAAGATAAACTCCAATGGTTAAAGAAGGCAAGTTGCTATTAAACTCGTTTTACTATTATTTTATTAATGTTTTTATCAATGTATCTTCTGATTATAACTACATCACATTTTTAGGAGTCAGTACGGTACACAGGAAAAGAAAAAGCCCGACTCATTAAAGAGTCATTGAAAGTAATTGGTGCAAGGATTGGGCAAGTCCTTGCTACCAAAACTGGATCTAGAGAATATAACAGGTGGCAAACTGGCTTGTGGCAATTCGTGACGTATTTCTGGCCCAAGGACAACGTGAATCCAGATAGATTAATCGAACTCTACCGCAAGTTGGAAGCTGCTGATTCTTCTGGTCAGTCTTAATTAAACGATTTCAGCATTGATTTTCAATATTTTCAATGTTTTTGAGGTGGAAGAAAAAAAAACAATAAAAATTTTAATAATAACAATAATATATTAAAAATATACATATATATATATATATATATATATATATACATTTTTAAAAAAATGGGGAATGTTGGTTTTGAAAATATATATATTTGGCATTTATATTTGTACATTTGGTATCTTTGGTATGTTCGTTATTTAGTAAATTTTCGAATTTTTTTTTTTTTAGCTTTGAATAACTTTTTTTTTCATTCTTTTTTTTTTTTGTTTTATTTTTTTTTTCACATCTGCAAAATCAATAATTTTCTTAATTTCTTTAAATTAGGATAATTGAGGGGAATGGACAATGGACAATAAGGAGTTAAAACCTTAAAAATTTTAGACATTTCAAAAATCAATTTTTTTTTGTATATAACTTTGCATTTATTCTTTTTCGGCTCATCCGAAATCTTAATTGTATATAATAATAACTTTATTTAATGTGTATAGCTTATAAATAATATTAAAAATATTATTAACGCATTTTGTAAATTAGATATAATAATAATCATCCTATTAAAGCATTGTTAAAGTTTTTTCTTTGGGAATAAAAAAAAAATAATAGAAATAAACAAATATCCATCGAATTGATCTATTATTATTAAAGTAGTAATATTGGCATCAAATAATTAACACTTCAATTTGCAAATACCAACCTATCTTAAATTATCTTTTCACTTTCTTGAGGCGAGAATATTGCCTTTTGCACAGTCAAAATTTATATGATTATAATCACGTGCATTGTTCAATTTTTGTGTATATAAAATCCAGATATTTACTTGGATTTAAAAAAATAAATTAATTAATGATATCGAAATATTTTTTATATTATATCTTTAAAGTCGTATCAATAAATAAATAATAAAAACTTTAACTTCTACAAAATATTTAAAATAAACTCTTATTTTGCATTTATTTAGCAAAGTTTCAAATTAATCATTTTTTATTAGATAAACTTAGGAATAATAATTGGGAAAGACTTTAGAAATGATAACTCAACAAGTTGAAATTTAAAGTTAGTGATGGAGCTAGTTTTTAGATTTTGATGAAAAATGGATTCTTTTTTTAATAATTTTACCGATAAAAATTCTCAAATATATGTTGCATCTTTAGAATATATAAATGAAAAAATTATATTCTAAATTTAGTACAATATATATTCAAACCAAAAGTTTCCTACTTCTTTCTTATTTAATATTTACAGAAGGAATTAACTTCTTACTAATAAAGATAGTTTGCTTCGATTCTAGAATAATTATACAAATTTTGAAGGAAATAGAATGATAAATTTTACATTCTAAAAATGGTAATTTTCAATATATATGCAAAGTTGTTAAATAATCTTTGATATTTTCTAATTGCTTTTAGTTTATTTGAACAATTTATTTATTTGAATAATATAAAAAAAAATTAATGCTGAAAGAATAATAAAAATAAAATATATGAACTATTGTCTTCCTTAGAAGATATCTTGATTGTTGAAAGAAAATTTCTTTGAACAAAATATAAATATACATTCACGATTATTAAAAATCATTAATAATTAAGAGAATATTATACAAAAGTAGTATTAATAAGAGTAATTAAAAAAACTTTGATTTTTTGAAACTTTGAAAGCTATTAAATTATTTTTTAACTTGTTAATAAAGATTTTTATTTTTTTTTGTTGAAAAAAATAAAAAATAAAAATAATAGCAGAGTTAAATTTATCATAATTCCATTTATTTGAATTTAATATTATTTACATTGTATATAATAATATAATAAAATTTGTCAAAATTATGCTAAAAATATCAAGAAAAGTTATCTTTTTGTATAAAATTTGCTATATTAACAAATAATTAAATTTTGTCCCAATATAACTTATTTAGATTTCCGAGAAAGTGGTGATACGTAAAGCATTAAGCATACCCAAATCTAAGATATCTCAATTTGCAAAAGGCTCCAATAAACTGATAAAGGTCTATGAGAAATTGCACACTTTTATAATAAATAGAATATCTAGAAATTTCTTATTGTATTCGTATTAGCGAAAAATCTTTGATTGAAATTTCAAAAAAATGCCATACTTTACAAGAGTTACATTTTGCTGAAGCATCTTGGATTACTGAAAAATCTATATTGGATATAGCAATTGTATCATTAAAAAAAATATTAATAAATTAATGTGGACATGTCTTTCTATAGAATATCTTGATTTTAGTTGTTTAAGAGCTACCATTACCGAGGAGAGTTATATCACAGTTATTGTTGCATCTTGTAAAAATATTTTAATATTAGGTATACAGCTTTTGGTAATGATGTTATTGAAATGCTAACTCGCACATGTCATAAATTGAAATATCTTAATCTTTTTGGATGTAGATTCGTAATGTTATTCGCTCTTTCCCTAAACTTGAATTTTATGTCCCAATTCAAAATATCTTAATTTGAAAGGCTGTAAAAAAATCTCTCTGAAAAGACCCACAATTTTAATATAAACAGAAACGAATATATTTTACATACAAATGATTATTTCGGAAAGCGTAAAATCCATTCTTGATTTTTATACTTTACCGGGATTTGGTTTTTTTTTTTGTACAAATATTTAAAAATCAAATTATCTACCATAAAAAATTATTCCGACGTTCCATGTAAAAATAAAGTACACATTTATTTTATATCCATAGTAACTTTCCTGAAACGGGTAAAATCAATACTCAATAATAAAGCAATCAGATCAAATAATTAATTTTAACATGTGATAGAAAAATTTTGCGACGAATTAGAAATTTTATGATTTTATTGTTGTTATAAGTAAATTGTCGCATTGTAACAAGCTATCAAGAAATTGCATTACGTACAATGTTGAATTTCAAATTTCCGACCACATCTAATAGCGAGAAATTACATCAAGTATAATGTTGAATTCAATTATCCAACCACATCAAAGGGTGAGGTTTTTCATTCCATTCCATTATATAATAATCTGAAGTGCTATTCATATTACACAAATGGACAATATACGGGGCTGTCTTCCAAGAGTTAGATTTGATTTGGGTTAGGGTAAAAAGGATTGATTGCATATGGAATAGCGATTCCCACATATTTAGATAAAGCATGACTACGGTCGGGATCTTTGTTATGGAAAACCTGAATGGATTCGAATCTGATAAGCAAAATTGTAATTTTTTTTTAAAAAAAAAAACATAATACAATTACTTCTATCCGTACATTTGGAGGTGGGCACGAATTGACTATGGGTCTTGAACTTTGTGCAAACGTTGGAGCCTGAAACCAAATGCCAATGTCAAGTTGAAAATCATTACTTCCTATTGTACATGTTACATTAATATTACATCCCAACTTTGATTAGATATCCCAGCTGAATTTGCTAATCTGAAATTTATTTCATTCTTGTGATCATTATCATACTATATGAAATCAATAAATGATATGTATACTGTGGTGTGTAAGTTATAATGAAACTCACTTTGATAAATAAGTCTTACCCAATTATTTCAGTATTATATATTTCACGTATTGCTTCGCGTACATCGACATTATCCAATTTATAGGCGGAAAGAGTGATCTTGACAACATCTTCCAATTGCTCTGGCATTATTGATTCCAATGATTCTCAATATATGTAAAGATCTATTGCAATGTGATCGTTAGCCATGCTCTCTGATATTATCATGAATACTACCTATATACCATATTAATTTGGGAGACTTCTCTGGTCTCTTGGATACCTCGGATATTTATGATCCTTCCAACTTGACACTCATGTTGAATGATTGAGATTCAGGAAAATGAAAAAAGATAAAATTGTACACTTAGATCTGAATTTTTTTTGCATCATCTGATTTTAAAAAGTTACGCGTTACGTAATCAATTCATACACATTTGTAATAGTGTATATATTTTTTTATTTTTATCATTCTGGCGTTGTAATATATAGTTAAATTAAACACTTATCTGCAATTTAAATTTTAAGTATATTATAATTGAGTTTAGATTAAAAATTTTAAACATTTGATTAACAAACCCTTATTCTTTCGGGAATAACTATTTCTGGTTTTTCATCATACCATACCTCAAGAAGAAAAATTTCATTATCTTATCATACACATCTTTTTAGATGTTGAGCTTCTTGTACTTCTAATGCAATTTGATATTTTTAAAAGAAGACATCAAATTCTAATCCATTCAAAAAAGGAGGATGATACTCAATTATCGGTTCTTCATTAATGCATTTATTTTAGAATTTACGATTTTTCTTATATAACAGCTTTTGTTCCAATTTCACAATTCTATCTTTAAGTTCATCTGCTTCTATAATTATTCTTGAGAATATGGGAATTTGCTATCAAGTTTATAATATCTTACAGAATCTCAGGTTTTACTATTTCCAATAATTTGCAAAGCAGCATATAAATATTTTTGAATAGTAATTTAATAATGCTAGAAACTATTATACCATCAGTATTTGAGACTTTATTCTCGAATTATACATTGATGCCCGTTTTTTTATAATTCTTTATAAATTGATTTAATATCATTATTGTCCATTTCAAGATTTTTACTATTTCATGATATGCATCACAAAAAATATTGAATAAATATAATAAATATTTAAATCAAATTGATTTTTATTTTTTATATAATGACAGAATATAGTTCTTTATACGTGTTAAAATTAACGATCCGGTTTGTGTGGAAATTTTCAGTTTTTATCTTGTTAGAAACTTGTTTTTTACATAATTTAGCCTATCTATACGAATACGGAAGTCTGCAAGAAATTTAACTAATATTTACTTATCGATTTCTTTGTCAAAATTATTAACTTATGAGAAAATTTTCATGAATTAGTGTTTATGGAAATTTGCGCCTGATTCCGTCTGTACATCTGTACATATAAGAAATGAATTTCATAAAATTTTGTTAAATCCCATAATATTTTTCTTTAGAATACAATATCTACACCTCTAATTCTACTTCAATTTTTTTAGTCACAAAGACACTCATTGATTTTACTGTCAAGGAACAAGTAGCATGCAATTATAGACTGATTTGCGTAATCAAACAGGATAAATCAGATTTTACGCGTTTTAATATTTACAGATACTATTCCCCCTTTTTTCATTTGAAAAAAAAAATGTCTAACACTAATTATAGAGGAACAACTGTTGAAACCGAAATTAGTTCCGAACTTTCTGAAAATGATATTAGAAATGAAGATGAAACAGAGGAGAGACCTGACGCCTCCCCATTACCCCGGTCCTTTATAAGTGATTTTAATGGATTGAATATCGAAGACGAGCGTATTAACCGCTATAGAGATGAAGTATCATCCGAAACCGAAACTGTAACCGGAAGCGATAGGACAATTACCAACGCAACTACAACCGCATCTAGTGATACTAGCAACACACATGTATCTACAAGCTCATCTACAACCATACCCTCTGTCACCACTGATAATACCAGATTCAGAAAAAGAGAAGTTATAAGAAAAAGAGAAAGGGCTATACTCAAGACACTTGCTAACATTGAGCGTTCAATGGAGGTTGATCTTTGTTACGTTTTAGACTGTACTGGTGTGTATCTTTCGCATTATTTGCTTTAATTTCTATTTTAGATTCATATTGACCTCTATTATCATCAAACTTATTTAGGTTCTATGTCGGGACATATCGCAGCGGCCAAGGATTGTATTTTGCAAGTATCAGAATATATTAGAAATACGAATCCAAGCATTAAAATTAAAGTTGGTTTTTGTGGCTATCGTGATCATTGTGATGCTTCCTTGCGCCTGCAAATTTTTGATTTTACAAATTCGTATGAAGAATTCAAAACAAATTTAGGTTCAGTACCAGCTACTGGTGGTGGCGATGGTCCAGAAGATGTTCTTGGAGGTCTTAACGCAGCTATAAATCAAATGTCTTGGAATGATGGTACTAGAATCCTTTTCCATATTGGTGATTATCCACCTCATGGCAGACGTTTTACTACCATGCAAGATGAATATCCAGATGGCGATCCAAATGGGTTGACAGCAGAGAGTGTATTACAAAAAATGCAATCTGAAAATATTTTTTACTTTTTTGGAAAAATTACAAATTATACAGATACTATGATTGAAGTATTTCGTAGTATAATTGGTGAATTTTTAATATTTGAACTTGTAGGAGGAGATCCAATTGAATTAATTAATAAATTTGTCGCAGCTACTACATCATCTATTACTATGTCTGTTTCAGTAACCAGCACTATTGGAACTAGAAGGAATTTAAATCCATCACAACGTCCAATTGAAATTAACAGAAATATTCCTGATTGGGATGCTCTTCCAGATCGAAAAGGTGTAACTTTATGCTATTATATTCCTCAAGATGTAGTCGAACTTAAAAATGAAAGATTTTATGACAAAAAGAATCTCTTCTCTAAATCTTATCATTTCAAGATCGCGGAACAACCTTTTGCTGCTGGTGTTGAAAAATATGCTTATTATGCTATTAACACCAAACGCGATCCACCCAGACGAATGGTGATGAAAGAATACTTGAGACATGGAACAGAAAATCTATTTGAAAAGTATCTCGAGTCCGCGGAGATTTCTGCTTTAACAAGTTACCTTACTATAAAGTTTAATAGGAAAGCAAGAGGAAAAGATATTCCTTCTGTAAATTTCCTTAGAGTGAATCTAGTACGTGCTACCTTTGATGGTAAGACTCGTTATTATGTTACAGAACCGGAACTTCAAGATGCCGAGTTTCAACGGTTTAATGTAAATTCTGGAGTTATTGTAAAATATCGACCTGTTCTTGAAGCGTTTGTACATTATACATATGTACATACAGATGGATATTTAGTTGTTTCTGACCTTCAAGGAATTGAGTCACCTGATAGGTTCGTACTAACCGATCCAGCGATACATTGTACTAATCCCTTAAGATTTGGAAAGACTAATTTAGGCGGAAATGGAATTAAGAGATGTCTTTTGGACAATCATAGATGTAACGATGTTTGCAGAAAGTTGAAACTACCTAATTTTACTTAATGATTTCGCTTTATTACTCATTTACAAGTTACGAAAACTCATGGTTATTGCATATATATATTGATCAACACTAATACTGAAGTCATGAAAATTAGCGAAATTATGCAGCTGATCTCGAAAGATAAGGTTAAATGTGTTAGCTTAATGCAAAGAAAGTGGTTTTGTCAAAATTTAATTACTATTGATTTACATAGGTCATTTTTTCAAAAATAATTAAAAAATATTTTCTATTAAATTTTTAAACTTCCAAAATATTTTTTCACTTACATTAAATAAACATTTGTTCTTTTGCTAAAGCTTCTAAAAATGGTGTTTCATTTTTTTAGTGATTCAAAATTAAAGGAATTAAGTTTCTTTCTCTTTTATTTTTGTATTATCTTCCAGTATCCATATTAACTACTGTAATTCAGGAACTAAAATATTTTCAAAAATTCTTCTTCAGTATCTTTTAATTTTGCCCTAGTCAAATACAAAAAAAAATCTCTGTGCCAAATGGTAATTCCTATATTATAGATTAGCTAAAATCAAAATTCTTATATCATAAAATGGACCATTCTATTTGCTAAAATCGGAATTCCTTTTTGCATCATCTATTCTTTTGTATTTGACCTGTGTTAGTAGATTGATTTTTTTTTTTCAGAGTGTATTTTTTCAAATAAATATTAAGCTCGGAAGCTTAACAAGTAAATCTAACGTTTACTTGCAAAACACTGGTCAAAATCAGCTAAATCGGCGTCCGATCTGCGAATCGCCTGAAAATCGGCTGTCTGATTTGCAAATCGGCCATCCCGATTTTTGGTGATTTTTGGATGATTTTCGATAATGAAAATGAAAAAATTGATAATCTTTACTTTTTTATTAGTAAAACATCAAAAACGTTACTAAGTAAAATTATAGCTGAGAACTAAATACACCTATTAAAAAAATTTTAGACCTAAATATCACGAATTAAAGGAAAGAGGAACATTTAAATTTTGAATATCCGTTCATAATTTAAATGTCTAGCTTTTCTTTATTTTGTGAGCTTTAGGTCTAAAATTTATTTAGTATGTGTATTTAATTATTAGCTATAATTTTACTTAGTAACATTTTTGCGATTTAGTTATTAAATTAAAAACTTTTATATGTAGATACGATCGCCGATTTTATATATTATTCAATAATTTTATATATAATATTGAATTATATATAAAATCGGCGATCGTTGCTACATATAAAAGTTTTAAATTTTATAATTAAATCGCAAAAAAAAACTCTCTCCTGCATCTGACAAAATTGAAAAATAAAAAATTCAAAAATTCAAAAATCTTATGGACGCAAGAGACAAAAAAATTTTTCTAGGAGTTCAACCTCCTAAAGAAAATACTTCGACATCAAAAGTTTTAACAATCCTCTTTTTGAAAGACCAAAAAACAACAAAGTTACGAAACATGACATTTTCAGAAAAACTACTACACTTCCAAGAGTCCTAGAATTTCCTACTTTTTTCCT